TAAAAATATTTTCTCCAAAAATTAGTAATAGCAACCATCTGTGAGCCCACGTGAACCTGGACGTAAACAGAATTTGAGGTATAATGCCATGTACTGGTACCCACAGGACCCAGGGCAAGGTCTGAGACTGATTTCAGTTGAAAAGAGTGTTCAAAAAGGAAACATCACTGAAGGCTGTGGCATCTCTTGAGAGGAGAAGGGCTGTTCTCTCATGGTGAAGTTGGCCCACACCCATCAATGGCTCTATCCCTCTGTTCTGGTAGCGCCCCGCAGTGGTGTTCCCCATTGACCCTAGGGGCACAAACCTGCACTCCTAACTTTTCTTTTTAAATTTTCTTCTGCTAAGTGTCATTCCCTGCATCCTTGAATTCTTGTTTTATTAATTAATTTTTGTTGGTACTTTATAATTATATAACATAGTACATACAGTGGAAGTCATTGGGACACATTCATAGATGAATGCAACCTAATTTGGTCACTTTCATTCCCCAGAACTTCCCCATTCTCTCTCCTCCTTCCCCCTGGTCTCCTTCCTCTATTCTACTGTCTCCCTGCTGCAGGAGATCCCTTTCTCCAACCGCCCCCTTTTCTTTTTTTTCCTCTCTAGCCTCCACAGAGGAGGAAAAAAACAAAACAAAACCAAACATACAACCCTTGATCTTTTTTGATTCTGGTTTATTTTGCTTAACATAATGCTCCCAAGTTACATCCATTTTTTTCTACAAATGACATAAACTTCACTCTTCTTTATGGCTGAATAAATATCCATTGTGAATATATACCATGTTTTTTCTTGTCTATTCTTCTGTTGATGGACACCTGGGCTGGTTCCATAACTAGGCTACTGTGAATTGTGGTGCTGTGAATGTGAATGTCCACGTACCACCACACACAACTGAATTCTTAATCTAGCTCTCATGACAGCAGTCCCAGAGGATATACTTTGCCCCTTGTGCCCCAAATCTTTCAACTTTTCCTTCTAGATTTATCTATGTTTTTTCTTAAGATTTTACTACTTTACCAAATACCAAGGATACAAAACTGAATAGAAAACCAATCCTTTCTCTAAGGAGTTAGCAGTCTAATAAAAAAAGCAAATAATTATAATGGAATGGAATAAAACCGAATGTAATATAATATGAAATAGTACTATAATCAGAAGTTCTGAGGGAGCTCAGGGTTGGGCCTGCTTGGTTCTGTCTCATTGGATCAGAAGAAGCTAAAAGAGGGGAGGCTTCATATGAGCTTCACCAGAGGCATCTGGCTGTGAGTAGGACATGCTGGGCAGAGAACGATTTCTGCAAAATCAGATTAAAGAAAGCAACACTTTGGAGAACAATTAGGAAAGAGGAGACAACTGATTCACTGATATGAGTTAAATAAATACAATGGAACAAATTTGAAAAGGTAGAATGCATTTTTAAACAAGTTGAGATTCTGGTTTCATTGATATGAGTGTGGAAGCCCCTTGTAGCCTGTTGCTCAAAAGAGAAGCTTGAGAGGAATACTGGATTGTCATTAGTAGACAGGGAATTCATGAAATTTTTTAATTGCCTCCATATAACATTGGTCCCTTACAAAAGTCAAACAATACTAGACCTTGCTGAAAGTAGCAATTCCCATCTGGGACAAAAGGTTTCAGGGGTCTTTGAGACAATCAGATGAAAACTGGGAGTAGGATTTTGTCCTTACAGATGGAAGAATAAGATGCAATGGAACTAGAGGAGAGGTTTAGAGTCCACAGAACTCACATATATGGGATTCAAAATGGGGCCCCCAAATTCCAGAACATAGACTTAGATGGCAGAGAGAAAGTGGTTGAAACTATGGACTGTAGTATTCTGATTCTTTGGGAGATTAAAGAAGGCTGAGGGTTGGGAGAAGTCAAGGTAGGAGATGTAAAAACAAAGTAAGGAGAAGAGTAAGAATCCAGGTTGATCTTAATTTTAATACTTGTAAGAAAATGAAAAAAAAGGTAAAGTCAAGAAGCCACAGACGCACCTTGAGCAACAGGTTTGCATGGGTGACATGTTAGTTTACACCAGTGAACTCACCTTTTCAACTGCAGTCTCTTTATGAGGCCTTTAGAAAGATGTGAGACCTGGATAGGATTCCAAAAGGCCACCAAAGCAGGCAATGCATGGCCTCGGTAAGTGAGGGTGTGTCTGCCCTCTGCCCTCAGTGGCTGGTGGCAGAGGAAGAATGCAGGGGTGCCGCTGCATTGAAAGGTGTGGGGAAGGGAGGGAGCAACACACTGAGTCTTTCCCACCTGGTGTGCTTCAGGGAATGGAGGCTTGCAGCTCTGATAGACCCAAACACCTACGCCCCAGCAACTGACTTAGAACATCAAGGTAAACAGAGATACAAATGAGCACAACCTGGGAATAAAGTGAGAAAACTAAAAAAATGAACTCAAAGTTTTCTCTGGAAAAAACAAGTGTGAAGCCATGTGGGTCGCTATTAAAGGTGATTCAAATAAATGAAAATATACCTTGTCTTTAGAGGTGAATAGAGTCAATTTTCTAAAAAAAATTCCAGATTTAGAAATTAATTTATATATTAAATATATCCAATTAAAATCCCCATAGGTTTTAGATACAACTTGATAAACTGAATTTAAGATTTATATGAAGCTACCAAGGATCAAATTAGCTAAGGAGCTCCGACAAGAAAGAAGCAGGTGGAACCAACTTGAATCTAATGTATGAAATATGATATGTGAAGAGCTTTATAATGTTTTGAACAACCAATAAAAAAAAATTAAAAAAAAAAAGAAAGAAGCAGGTGGGAGGATCCTATTTAACCAACTTAAGAGTTATTATAAGACCACAATAATATAGGAACAGTGACACACAGACAGACCTGTGGGGAAAACGTGTGTGTGCACACATACACAGAGGTGGACTGCAGAGGTGGAATCACAGATTCTTCAACAGAAGATAGTGGGGAAATTGAGAATCTGTGCAAAGAAAAATTCAACTGGACACTTATCACAATATATCACAAATCAATTTCAACAAAAAGAATAAATGAACATAATAAAATTACAAAGCTTCTAAAATATACTATAGAAGAACATCTTCATGTTCTCAAATCAGGTGAGGATTTCTTGAAGCTCTTGACCACTAAAGAACAGATTGATTAAAATGGCTATATCAGAATTAACATGTGCAATTTATCAACACTAATCATTGAACAGTGAAAAGATTAGTTATATAGAAAGATGTGAATATATGTCAATCCCAAATCCTTGTCCCTATCTATATTTATGTATTTAAGAAAGGCTAACATATAGAATTTTAAAAAGTATCTATAAATTAGTTTCTACATAAACCAACCAGAAAAAGATAATTCAATAGACAAATGGGTTAAAAAAAAACAAGTACTTCACAAAAGGGGAAATTTAATTTATCATTAATGGGGAAATATTGCTAAATTTCATAATTAGAGGAAATGCAAATTAAGAATCCAGTGAATACACACCCACGTGAAGAGCTAAAGTGGAAAAAGAAAGTACACAAAGTTTTGTCAAGTTAAGGCAGCAACAAGAACCCTCTTGAATTTCTGATGGGATATGGATTGGTAGACCATTTCTGGAAAATAATTTGTTATTTTTTAGTGAAGTTCAAGATGTGTGCACCCACTGCCCATCAATTTCACACTTGAGAAATTCTTTCCTAGAGAAAAATCTTACACATAAAAACCAGGACCAAAATTTCAGTGTAATATCTCCAGTAACAGGAAAACACTACAAAGTATCCAAGTGGACACTAACAGAAGAATCAATAAATGATGGTATGTTACTATAATAATTTTATAGCATTGAAAATTAATGAATTAAAACGAAAGTGACTGGATTTTACAAATGTGAATGAAAATTACATTTCAGAAATGTACAGTATTGTCACATCTTGTAAAGTTTGAAAGCATAAAATAGAGTTTGTTTAGTTATACTCCTACGTATTAAAATGTCAGAGACTCAAAGAAAGATAAACTGGAACACTTCATAGAGTTGGAAAATGGGAATGGATCTGGGGAAAGAAACATGAGACTTCAAAGACTCTGGTGACTTTTCTTTTTCCTTTAGCAAGTTGTTTGTTGCAGGGTTCATTCTGCTGGTATCTTATCAGCTTCTTGTCTGCATATTCGATATCATTTTTAACATGGAGAAATCGAATAGTTCAATTTCTTTGAACTATTCAGAGAGTAAGTAGAAATCCACGGAAATACTTAAGCTCTTAAAATTACTTAAGATGGGGACAGGAAAGAGGAAGAAGAAAATAAGAAAAAATATCACACGCAAAAACAAGTGCACCATGTTAAATAGACAGAAATCAAGGAAGAGAAAAAGAGATCATGTAAAATAAATGTCGTAAAAGAGCAAGCTCAAATGTATCAGAAACAGCTAGAACGTAAAGTATTTCCAAAGCAGTGGCTAGTCTCAGAATCATAAAACAACACTAACAGCAGGAATATGTTATTCTAAAATTTAATTAGATACTAAAAGATGATAGCCAGAAACAATGCACGACCTTGAGCTAGAAATTGAGCAAATTAGCAGTAAAGGACATTTATGAGAACACTGTGAAACTTTAAATAAAAACTGAGTTAGCGAAGAAGATAAAAATGCAATAACAGGGAAGGATGATTGTTTAATGGAATAAAAGTTTATGAAAGAACACTTAAAAATTTTAACCAAAAATGTGTCCAAATATAACACACACACACACACACACACAGGGAAAGAGAAAAAATATCTTCAAAGATTTTCACTAAGGCATTCACAGTGTAATCATTATTCAGCGGTAGTATAGTGTTTTTATTTTGTTATTTTGCTTATTTTCAAACTTTCTGAAATATGTCTATCTGGTTGATGTTAGTAAAAATAGAATTTTGCAAGATGCTTCCACATGAATAAAATATAAACCAGTTGTATTTGTTACATCAGGATGAAAGCTTTCCTTCCAATATCGTGAGGGTTTTACCACTCACACCTTGATTATGAGTCACAAAGGGATCATGTGACAAGAAAGTCACTGATAGGGAATGAAAAAGCCTCATTCTCTCAATACTCCAATGTGACCATGGGCACGAGTGTCCTCTGCTGCCTGGTGCTTTGTCTCCTGGGAGCAGGTGAGTCCTGAGCACAGAAGACAGCTCCTTGTCCTGGATCCAAGCCTCTTTCCTAGCCGGGGTCCCTCCTGGGCTAGTCCATAACTTCTGCCTCCTTCTCTTGCAGGTTCTTTTGTTGCTGAAGTCATCCAGACTCCAGGACATCTGGTCAAAACAAAAGGACAGAAAGCAAAGATGCACTGTGTCCCCACCACAGGACACACCGCCGTTTACTTGTATCAACAGAAGCCCAACAAAGAGCTTCAGTTCTTGATTTACTTTCAGAACCGAGAAGTTCTTGCGCAAATCGAGATGGTCAAGCAGCGATTCACAGTTGAGTACCCCCAAAACTCCCCCTGCAGCTTGGAAATCCAGTCCTCTGAACCAGGAGACTCAGCCCTCTACTTCTGCGCCAGCAGTCCATCCACAGCACTGAAGCGTTGGTTCCTCTTGGTGCATAAACCCATCACAGCCCGACTCAGGAAGCAGGCGATGCATTAGGTTGGAAGGAAGTAACAGAGATCAGCTGGAGCCGGTATGAACCACAGCGGAGCCTACACAGGCCAAAGGGCCATGGGAAGCCTAGGAGGGATGGGCTGACCACGCTGCAAGAACACCACCTGGGGGAGGGGCTGGGCTGCTGCCTGCTGCTCTTCTTTTTCTTCTTTGCTCTGCTTCATTCTTTTCTCTCTCTACACACTGTCTTTCTCCTTTTGTCCAATCCTCACAGTGAGAATAAGACGGTCACCAAAGATCATAAATCCGGTTGGCACTGTCCCACCCCACTGATAAGGTCAGCCCCACTTTTTCTAAGCCTGGGATTAAAAATCTCAAGAGAAAGAAAGGATTAGTCATGACTCAGCCGTGACCTTCTCATAGAACACTCAGCTCAGTCATGGATGTGTGTATTTAAAATCATGCAAATGTTATTTTATTATGGGTGCTATTTTCCTCTTAGATCTTTTCACTCAGCTCTGAGTAAAACATTGCATTTTAGTCTCTTGCTAAATAATGCACTGTACTCCATTCTCACTTCTGTGAGAAAAGATACCTGATTATCCTCCAGTTTCCTGCCACCATTGCAAATACTCGAATATATCCCTTCATGACCCTTTGTAGGTTTATATGCCTAGGATCATGATTGTTCAGACATGGACGACTACATGTTTATTTTACTTTATGTGACCAAATTTCTCCAGAAAGTTTTTTTAAAATTACCCTCTACATCTGCAACCCCTCAAACAAGGCCATAAGTTTTCCCCCCATATCCTCGTATCTCCTTAGGACATTTATCCAGCAAGCTAAATGGCTGCCAATCCAGCAGTGTGAGTAGATTTAGGGGATCCCAATCTCTCTTGCTTTCTCCCAAAACATCATCAGTATTTATCATTAAGATGCAGGTAAATAATTAAGGTAAAAGAAATAAAAGTAAGAATTTAATGAGAGGGAAATATTATACCACTATTCCTAATAATCAGCAGCAACCTGAAAATGAACAGTGCTATCAATTAGAAAGCTAGATTATTCTCTTACTCTCTCTTTCCCTTTCTTAATTGCATTTTTCTGATCACTAAGGAGTTTGGCCACTTTTTCATGTGATGTTGATCTTGCATTTCTGTTCTCAGAACTCCTTGTTCATTTTTAGACCATTTTTATTGGGAGCTCTATAGTTTACTCAATGATTTTATACTAGGTATTAAATAGTCCCTTTTTATTTTAGACATTGAAAATGTCACCTCCTAATATTGTGCCACCCATAGTCTCAGTCAGATTTCAAAGAGCCGGTGGGCATGGGGGAAGCACATGACCTCTTCCTGAGTGGGTGCATGTTAATTAGCTCCACTATCTGAATCAGACCTCTCTCTGCCATATCCCTAGGCATCCAGAGCAAGCTCCTCCATTATAACTCACATCTTTGAGCACCATGGAAGTTTCCAGTCAGTGCTGCCCCCCAAACTACTTTCACCCCTAAAACAGAACTTCTCATTCAGAAATGCTTGGAGAAAAAAAAATATTCCCTTTAGTTGTGGTTTTGGTCAACTTGATTCAAATTAAACTTTTTCCTTTTCTTTTTTCTAATTGGATTTTGCTGCCTGGTACAGGAAGGGGACAGTAACACTTTACATATTTTCTTAAAGACTTAATATTTGCATAGACATTATCTTTTTTATGGCTAAATTCCATCCACTGTAATCACCAATCCCATTAATTTCTTGGTCTGACAGCTGATCCATTTTCATTCCACAGATGCTTGCAAAATTGTGTTCATTCACTAAAACACAAGATGACTAAAAAACTTCCAGTTACGTTACATGGAATTTCAGCTGTTTTTGGAATTGCCATTTCAAAGTTTGTTACTTCAAATGGGTAGAAGAGATTGTTGTGAGAGAATGCAGCAACTGAAATCAACCTGCAGTGCTGGTGCTGGAATAATGTGGAAAAAACACATCCTCAAGAAAAGTTGGAGCACAGAAAACACCTGAAATGATACACAGAAACAGTCTTTTTGAAATTCTCATTTGGGACATCCTCTAAATCCTGGAAACCTCGTGTTGAAGATTTGATTTGACCAACTGTCGCTCAAATGATTAGCATGTCAACAAAATAAACTTGGATAGCATTTCCAGATGTGGTATTAATCAACAAGAGCTTGGCCATACCAAATGTCAGTATCATAGAGACTGGAAATTGAAAGTGCCTCCAACAGAAAGAGACAACAGAATACTGACAAGGAAAGGCAACACCAAGATTTCCTTGAAAAACTTGAAGATGAGGCAGTTGGGAAAATGTCAACAAATGTCAACATCTATCTCTGTGGAAAGTGACACAGACAAGAGGGAGCATCTCAAATGGGTCTGGCTGAGATGCTTCAAGACCTTCACATTCCTGAGATGCACTGGGAAAGAAGAGGCATCAGTGGTGACAGCCTGAGCCATGGCTATAGATGGCTTCCACCTCTGTGGGCTCTCCTTACTTACTACAAGACAAAATACCACTTACTGTCCACTCCATCTGTGCCTCCAAATGGCAAGAGCAGAATAAATAAGGACTGAATATGAATAAATATGGCTACTTCAATTTAAAAAAATAGTAGATGTAGGAAGAAACAGGAAAATATAACCCATACATGGAAAAAGTGGGCAGTAGAAATCAACCATGAAATAACAGAACCTGGAAATTTCAGGTGGGGATCTTTAATCTATTGTAAAAATACAGTCAAGGACTTAGAGGAAAATATGGTCATAATTTCATCTGTTGATAAAATTGATTAACCCATAATAATCAAAAGGGTGGAATTACTATGATAAGGAATGAGAGAATACAGCTGCAATAAATATTAATATGTTGAAAGAGTATCATAAATTGGTATATGACAATAAATTCTATGTGGATGAAATAGAAATGGAATTATTTGAAAAACACAATTTATCAAACTCACCCAAGATGAAATAAGAAAGGTAAAGAACTTTATATGGTCTCAAATTAAAACTGATCTCCACAGCAGAGGAGACATGAAGAGAGTCTACAGAATAGGAGAAAGCTTTGCTAGTTGCTCCTCCAACAGGAGATTAATATCCAGAATATATAAAGAACCTCAAAATATAACACCATGAAAACAAATAACCCAACCAATGAATGGGCAAAAAAATCAAATACAAATAGCCAACATATATATGAAAAACTGTTCAACATCCTTAGCAATCAGGCAAATGAAAATCAAAACCACACCGATTTCATTTCATTTCACTTAGAATGGCAATCATCAAGAATACAAATAATGATATTTAGGAAATATGTATACATTTAATTTTCATTTCCTTTTACATGCCACTATGTTCACATTGATATATTAAGTTTTTAAGTGTCTTTTTAAAAAATCTATATTTCTAATGAATGGTCTTAGATTGTACACAGAACATTATCTGAACAATTTGAGAAAGGAAAATGTAAAGGAGGTAATAAGGGTGTTTCAAAGTAAATAAAATCCTTTCTGATATGAAAGTTCCATTGATTATATTACACTTTCCTTTGATGTATATATCTGCATTTTGTGATAGACAATTAATTTCCTTCCTCCTTGAAGTTTATGTATCAATACAAAAAGCCAAGGATATAAAACACTCTCTAATTGTTTTTCTTGCCTTTGCTGAAGATTGAGTGTGATTTTAATCAACCAACCGATTCTTGTCTTTTCCTTAGTATATTTTTCTTTTCTTTTCTTGCAATAGTGACAGTGCATGTTCTCAAAATATAGGAAGGTACAGATATAAATAGTAACTTCAAATTCCTACTGTACTTTCAAAAAAATCATGTGGCCCTTTGAATATTTGAACTGCTAGGCAAGATGTCTGTGGTATTCGTCCCTATTTTAATGTCACAGAAATAAATATGCACTATAATATGAGACATAACACATTAGGAAATGCTTTATTTATATCTGTCTTTATATAATTTAAGTTTTAGCTATGTCAATAGAAATATTTTAAAGTATTCTATATTCACATTGCCTATGTTAATGCTTTTTAAAGTTTATTATATCAGATGTATAGTGTTTGGCGTAAGTTATTACTGTACTTTTTCTTGGCTTTTTGTTCATAAAGAATTTTCTGAAGGAATGGTATTTTCTTAAGGATTGGGAATAATCACATTTTAAAAATACAAATAATGGCTGGAGCTGGGGTGCTTGCCCAGAATGCATGAGGTGCTGGGTTCAATCCTCAGGACCAAATAAATAAATAAATATTTTTAAAATAAATAAATAAATAAATAATACAAATAAGAATGAATGCAGGCAAAGATCTGGGGGAAAATGTACACTCATACTTTGTTGATGGGATTGCAAATTAGTATAACCACTTTAGAAAGCGGTACAAAGATTCCTCCCCAAGATTAGAAATAGAACCACCATATGATCAGCTATCCTGCTCCTTGGTATTTATCCAAAAGAACTAACATCAGCATCCTATATTGATATATGCCTACCAATGTTTATAGCAGTGAAATCACAATAGCCAAGTTATGGAACCAAATGGTTACAGAAAATGTGATATATGTGCACAATGGAATATAGCTCATCCGTAAAGAAGAATAAAACTATGACATTTGCTGGTAAATGGATGGAACTGGAGAATATAATGCTGAATGAAATAAGTCAGACCCTGAAAATCAAGGATTGAATGTCTTGTCTCATATATGGAAGCCAGAGCAAAATTAGTGAAAAGGGGGATGAAAATCCCATGAAAATAGAAGGGAGAACCATGCAGTAGAGGAAGAGGACAGAGGGAGAGAAAGAAAAGCGAGAAAAGGTGGAATGAAATTCACCAAATTAAGCCAAATTTGAATATGAATATACTATAGTGAGTTCACCTTTATGTTTATCTATAAAGCACCAGTTTAAAAACTGTAACTAAGTAGAAGGAAGATCAGTAGAGTAGAAAATAGAAAATAATAGAGGTAAGAGGGAGGGAAATAGGAAGTATTTGGGACTGAAGTAGAGCAAATTATATTCCATGCATAAGTGGCTGTGTCACTTATGCATGGAATATAACATTGTGTATAACTGTAATGCACAAATGGAAACATTAAAAATAGATTTTCTCAAAGGGAACTACAAACCCAGATTCCTTTCTTGATAAATTCTATAAAATCTTAACAGAAAAATATCAGTTTTACATAAACTTTTTCAGAATTTAGGAGAGGAAGAATTGTTTCACAATGTATTATATGGAGCCAGCAAAACCCTAATGCAAAAAACTGATAAAATTCTCCAGAACAACATTATGATCAATGATGAAAAAATCCTTCACAACACATTAAACAGGTCAATTTCAAATAAGTATGTATACACGTATGGGTTTGCACATGTGTATATTTATACATAAACATGTATATAATGATAAAGAAAAATCACCAAAAGTACAGGAGAAACAATGGTTTCACAGGCAGAAACCAGTGTAGAATAATGAAGAACCACCATTTGACCATTTCAGAGAAAACATTTTGCAAAATCTAGTACTTACTCAAAAACACTTGGCAAAAGGTTACTACAGCTTTCCCAGTCTGATGAAAGTTACTTACAAAAGCTTTATAGCTAAAGTCCTTTTAATAATAAATGTGGAGCACTTTTCTTCCATAATAGGAAGTGAGCTGTGATGTTTTCTCACTGCTATTATTCAACATTATATTGCACATTTTATCCAGTGTGCTAAAGCAACAGGAATGGGAGAAAAATTTAAAATATTGAAAAGGAAGAAGTATCACTATCTGTAGATTATATGATTTTATATAGAAAAATAAGAAATTGATGAAGAACAATTGTAAATAGTGAATTCAGCAAGATCACAAGACACAGGGTCAGTATTTTTAAAAATCATGTTTTATTTACTAGCTACATACAACTTTAAAATAAACTCCATAAAATAATAATATTTACAATAGTATCAATAACAAACTAACAATAAATTCAGCAAAAGATATTCAATGAAAAACTACAAAACATGGCTAGGCAAAATTAAAGAAAACATTTATAAATGATGAAACATATTATGTTTATGGATTGGAAGTTTCACTACATTGAGATGGTACCTCTCAACAAATGATGTTGGAACAACTGGATGAAAAAAAAAAAAAAAGAAGAAGAAGAAGAAGAAGAACCTAGACTCTTAACCAATATCCTAAATGAAAATAAATGATATATGTCATAGACCTAATTGTAAAAAACTAAAACTATAAATATTCTAGAAGAAAAATAAAAGAAAAACTTGTGAGTTGAGAATAGGCAGAATTTCCTTAGACACAGAAATCACCCACCAGGGGTAAAATAATCATTTCTCCTTTGGCATCCTATGTGCTGGCGAGTGTGCTACATAGAGAAATCACTCATGAGGGGAAGGGAGTGTCCAGAGTCCTTAGGATCTCATCCACACACAACAAACAGCTGTCAAAGGACATGATGTTGGATTAGCCCTCTGCCTGTGGTGGAGGACAGTCAGAGGGAATTGTATGGATTATAAATGTGATTCCAGGGCCATATGAACCCAGAGGAGGAGAAATATTGGCCGTTGCCATTTAAAACTCTCTTGGTTGTCCATTAATTGGGGTCTTTTTCAATTCCATGCCCATCTGATCCTACCCCATGTCTTCTCCACCCATTCCTCTGCTAACCATCTCTCTCCCCCTTGGCCATCGATCCTGCTCCCAGAATGATTTCTGTTTCTCCTTGCATGCATCTGTCCAGAGTGGCTGAAGGATGGCCTCTCACCCACCAGACCTGAGTCCTCTGTTCTCGCATCTGATGTGATCTCCCAGAACAGCTCCCCAATCTCACTTTCACCCACACCACTCCATACAGCAGGGGGCAGCAACACAGCATCTTTAGTTTAGGAATTGCAGGTAGGGACAAAGCTATTTTTCACACTAAGGGCAAACCAAAAATGGTAGTCCTCATTTTCATTATCCTGTATTAATCAAACCCTTGGAAAAGCAATTCACTGGAGTAAATCCATGCTTCTCTTGGAGTTGTTTATAGAAGACACTAGGAGGGAAGAAGGGAGAGGTCACTGGAAGATACCATGTGGAATGTGTGCAGATGCTGTGAAGTGTGCTCAGCACTCCTAAATAAAGCAGTGACTTCAATGAAACACAGGAGAGGGAGAAGGAGTGGAGTACCTAGACAAGTGAGGCCACAAGTGGGTGATTATAGAGTCTGGATAATGGAGGCATGTGGTGTCCCCTTCGTCAACTGTGTCCACTGTGTATATGTTTGAAATGTTTAGAGTGAAACATAAAAATATTTGAAAAGAAGAGTAAGGGAAATGAGGAGAGGTTGGTCAATGAGGACAAAGTTACAGTTAGAAAGGAAGAATAAATTCTTTTGTTCTATGTCGCTGTTGGGAGCTGCCCATAGGAGCTGAGCGCCCCCTAGCTTTGAGCGATGGGAATGTGGAGATGTGGCAAGCCAGCCACGGGTTGTGTGTGAGCTGTGAGCATTTTGAGTGCACAAAGCGGACTGGACTGATGATGCTGCGCTGTCTGAGCTGTGCACGTATGTGTCCCTTTCAGTTGCTCTGCCTTTGATCATCACACAGCACATGGGATGGGGGTGGCCTTCCAAGATGCCAGTCAACCTACTGACCACCAGACATCCTAGACTCAACCCCCTGAAACCTCACCCTTTGCCTTACATGGAAAAAAACATTTCATTGAACTCCCCTTTTGTGTCTCTCCCCTATGTAAGAATAAAGAATTCAGGTGGCTCTCTCTCTTTCCACAGACCCCTAAGGTCAGAGAGCCATCTCGGATTTTGAAAAGGTACTTCTGTGTGTTGCGTGCTTCCTTTGCTGTTTTTTTAAGTTGTTGAAGTAGTCAGAGTTTGTGAACCCAGCACAGGTCATCAGCTCAGTTAGATGGCAATATGGCACAGTCAGTTGAATATAGTTAACATTATTCATACAATGTGTACTTCCAAATAAGAGAGGCTTTCGAATGTGTTCACGATGCAGAAATGAGGAACACTTAAAATAATTATCCTGACCTAAGAATAGGTAAAATTTTCCTAGGACATAATTTGATCACTATCCAATGTCTATAGAGATCAAAACACCACATTAAATATTGCCTGTCAATCAAAAATAAAATAAATTAAAAACTTCAAAATAGATAAATTAAAGAAGACTGTTATATAATCCCAGCTTCTCTGGAGGCTGAGGCAGGAAGATCGCCAGCTCAACACCAACCTCAGCAAAGTAGCAAGGCCCTAAGGACTTAGAGAGACCATGTCTCAAAATAAAATATTTTAAAGGTGGGGGGAGGTCCTGGGGATGTGGCTCAGTGGTTTGACCCTGAGTTCAGTCTCCCTCCCCCCCACCCCAACCCCACCAAAAATGACTGTGAACTTGATGTGCAGGAGGACTAACTAGGGTAGGCTGCCACCAGGGAGAACCAAGACACACACCTGAAGCGGCAAGGAGCCAGCTGTTTCTTCAGTCGGACAAGATTTCACACTATCTCTGCAGCTGGGATGTACTAGCAATTTATTTTATTGAAATGTGGAACATTTTCCTCCTAAAAATAGGAATATTTTATGTTATCATAAAATTACCTTTTATTAGCCTATTTTCAGTTATTTCAAATCATGAGTGAAGGTGAATTTCTTTGAAAGCCACATTAAACACTCACCTGCCTACAGTGGGCCAATATTTTCAGTAAAGATCTGCACCCAGGAAACATTTACCAGAGAAGCAGGGGACACTAAACTCAGGATCAATTTGGTATCTTTCTGTTCCTTTAATGTATGAGCTCAATACTATCAACTTTCCTCTTAGAATCACCCTCATTTGGAACAAAGTTAGTAACTCTGCCCTCTTTAAACAAACAAATAAAAAGTCTTGAATTTTAGAGAACTTATTTAAATTTCATAGTTTGCCTAGAACTGAGAGCAAATGAATAAATGGGGGTTGGGGGGTGGAAATGTCCTAACATTCCAGCGAGACCAGATTCCTTTAAGAGTCTGTCATATCAGGAGGAGGATGCTTCCCTGGACAACTGAAATAGCTACACGGAGGGGAGAGGGAGAAAGACAACTCTGGAATTGTCAGTGAGGAGCCTGGAAAAGAAGAATCAGTAGAAAAATATCTCACCTGTCACCAGGTGAGATAAGAGACTCTGAAGCCACAGGCTGCATTGGATCTGTCTTCACCCACTGAGGTTTAAGTACTTAATCCAAAGTACCCTTTGCCTGAAGCAGAAAGGAGGGAAGGGGAGGGCTGGGTCCTTCTGGGCAGGGGTGTGGCTGCACCTGGCTCTGAGGCTAGTCAAGTGAGAGGAGGATGATGTCACTTCCTGAATCCCTCCCATTTCCTATTGCCAGGCCCTGTCTCCCCAGTGCTCAGAGCTGGACACACCTCCTTCCTGCCTCCCCCTGCCATGGGCTACACAGTGCTCTCCTGTGTGTTTTTATGTTTCCTGGGAACAGGTAAGTTTGGAAAGAGATGAGGAAATCCCTGCATTAAATTTCCCAGGTCCTGGATGAAGCTGACTGTGGCAAGATGACCTTCCTTAGCTGTCTCCAGCTTCTGTCTTTCTCCCCACCCCTCCCCGCAGGGTCCATGGATTCTGGCGTTACTCAGACCCCAAGGAAAAGGATCACAAAGACAGGAAAGAGCACCGTGCTGGAATGTTCTCAGTCTAAGGGTCATGACCGAATGTACTGGTATCGACAAGATCCAGGGCAGGGTCTACTGCTGATCTACTTCTCCATTGGTGTCAATGACATTAGCCAAGGAGAGGTCTCCAATGGGTACAGTGCCTCTCGGACAGAGAAGCCTAAATTCTCCCTGACTGTAGAGACTGCCACCCTCAACCAGACAGCTCTTTACTTCTGTGCCAGCTCTCCTTTACACGGTGTGTCTGGGCCACCTGCTCTCTGCACAGAAAGACAGGCACATGGGTGAGTTATTTGGTCAGAAGAGCACAGAGGCCTTCCTGATTGTGGGCTGTGGGATACTCTGAGCTTGAATGGTCCTATTGAGTGTGAGCCCCCAATTGAGCTTAGGACCACTTTGGGTCAATGTCACCAGGTGAGATAATGACTCTGAAGCCACAGGCTACACTGGATCTGTCTTCACTGCCTATTCTATCTATCTATCTAGAGGGGTTATCCACTTGTGACCTTCCAGGGGAATGAACCCAGGCATTTGATATGGCTCGTGATTTGCAATGCGAGCATTTCTTAGGAGCTCAAATACAATGTGGTTTCTCTGGTCCTTTTGTTGTTGTATCCATCCACCCTGCAACGTCCCCCACTCCATTCTGTTCTCCGCTGACAGTCCCTTTGCCTTGTGTGCCCTTTCTCAGTCATGGGTCCTCTGAGCACAGCTTCACCATTCAGCTCTAGACTTTTTGGCCTTATACTGAGAACTATTTGCTTTCTAAAGCTTTACTCCAAGTTTAATTATTATTAAATCTGATTCAGAAGGTGCAGTGGTAGAGATCATGGTCTATTAAAGTAATTCTTCATCTACTGCCCCACACCATAATCTCCGATGAGATTAATTTTAGTCTGAAAGACTAGGTAGACTTTTAATTGTTATCTGTATTATTATCTGTATTTGTTGAATTTCAGAAGAATTCCCTTGGCCCACATGGGACCAAAGCCAGGAACTTGGAGATGCTCTTTCTATCCAGACACTGGAATGAACCCCCATCTCCCCTGCATTGAGGTCCCTCCTGGGGGTTAATGAGTCCAGGCACAGAAGCACAGGATAAAGCCAGAGCATAGTGTGAACATTTTGCTAAGAGTCTTTCCTCATGTGCTTTCTCTTCTTGCCCATGAACCTGGATTATTCAGCAAAAGAACCACAGGACTTGGTGACTGTGCAAACAGTATTTGACTTTTTTCACTTTCTACCTATTCTCATATAAAATAATGTCACCATTTTTATTTCTATTAGTCTCTTATGGGATCTGTCTCATCTAATTTCTCCCTTAAAATAAAAAAGTATTTTTCCTCAGTTTCCTCCCTGCTGTCCATACACTCTCCTTCAATCTTCTCAGCTATAGTAGAAATTCTTCTCTCATAAGCTATTAACTACTCCTTTTCATTAGCTCCTGGATATTTCTAGTATATTTTATAGAATTTTCCATCTGTCCTCTTTTTGTTTTCTGTATAAATACTTTCCCCTCAACTTTTTCAACCATTGTCATGGTCTTAACTGATGTCCACTGGGCACTCAGAGTTGGACGCTCCATAAGTGACTCAAAGAATTCATGGCTGAATTTGTCGTCTCTCCAACTCTACGTGCACCCGTTTTGGTGGCACTGTATTTCTGTCTCAGTGAATGGAACAATCATTCTAGGCTCTTCTTTTCTCTTAGCTTTCACATTAAATCAGTTTCCAAAACTATCATTTTTATAGCATACGTCATTGTAGATTGGGTTCTCACAAAACTGACTTTACAGGGTGTATTGTCCCTAAAGCAAAGGACACAGTAAAAGGACACCATGCCCTTGAATGACCCTTTCTGTGGTCAGAACCCTAGGCAAGCAAAGGGAACGATGAGAGCAAGCCTGGGCTGGAAAGTCCAGATACGAATCATCTTGAAGGACACTGAATTTTTCTTATGTACACTGGAAGCTAAGGCGAGGTAGTGTCATTCTAGAAAGCTACTCTCTTGCATATACATCAGGAAGGTTGCTCCTTGGGATTGTGGTCAGTCAAACAAGCAAGCTGAGACCCATGATGTCACTGCCTCTGCAGCTAACATATAAAACCCCTCTCTGAGTGGGGACAGGTGTGAAACTGAGGGCACTCTGTGGGAAGGATATAAGTCACTCATCCAGCCAACTGGCACTGGATAAAAACACCCTGAGGGAGAAGAGGCACTCTTGGTGAATCCCTTGAGGGACAGAGGTGCTGTCAGCCTGCTGCCACTGAACTCTTCTTGAAGCAGTCTCTGACCTCCTCTATACTTTCTCCAATAAACCATATGTCTTTCATGTGGTCTCTGGGTACTTATCTGCAACCTACTCTACTGCCCTGATGCAACTGCTCTGTTGGGGAGACAGAGGGAGATCAGCATGTGCAGAGGAGTTACTGGAAAATGCCCTGCAGTCAACATGGATGGCTGTGAAAGACAGGAAGTGGGATTGGGCACAGCGAAGAGTTGGGCTCTGCCACAGCCTCCACAAAAGCTTTGCTGGCCCTACAGGGAGCTCCAAAGCCTGACCGCCCCGGAGTCATCTAAGTTATGGCAGGGAGACAGGTCTTATGCCCATTTTCATTGCAACGGTGTCATTGGACAATCACATCATTTCACTGAGGCCACACACTTGACAAGGAGGAGCAGTCCCTTTAACCAAAGCAATTTACCAAAAGGGCTGTCAGCATCCATTCCCAATGCATGTGCTCACGTGGTTCAGCTGCTTCTCTCCTCACTGTCTCTGCTTTGGTGCAGATCCTCATCATCTGTTACCGAGGAAACGATAAGAGGCCTTGTCATTGGTGTGCTGGCCTCTAACCTCGCTGCTTCCATGTTGCCACCAGGGTGACTGTGACCATGATATTTCACATACTATGTGAAGCCCTTTGTGAACACTGCTCTGGGTAGAAATGTGGCTGCATCGTCCACATTCACTCCAGCTCTGTAGGTTCTGGTGCAGTTGAACTTCTTCTATTTCCCTGAATAGACCACACTAAATTGCTCATTGCACCCTTGCAAACACTCTTTCCTATATCTGAACGGAGCTCTTTCTGACTGCCTGAGTATCTTGTACCCATTTTTCAGTTTACAGGTCAGAGAGAAGTTGATCCATAGAGTTTTTCTGACTCTTGTGGACAGAAAAGATTCAGCATAGTTTATATAGTCCTGAAGTACTGTGGTTATGTTTTTTATGATTATTTTTATACTGGCTCTTCAAAAGACTCTGTATTCTTTATATTAAGAGTGATCTCCTTCTAATTTTACATTCCTAGAACTTGGTACAATTTCTAGCTCAGTGGAGGAATAATAGAATACAATGGCGGGAGGAGCAGTCACCAAGTAGTTCTTCAAGACTTTATTCCAAGTATCATATTTTCTAACTTCTGGTACATGGTATTTAAATCCCTCACACCTCCCACTTACAAGTTCTTTAAAACAAAGCATGTTTGGTAAGGAGAAGTGTGGAAAGTGAGAGAGGGTATTTTACTAGACCAAAAATACATAGAAATATATGTAACAATTTTTATCTGATAATAATACTTCATGGTAATATATAATTGACTGAGAACAAGGGGAAAATGAACCATAATCCCAAATATTCATGGGAGCATACTGCAGGAGAAATGAAACCTGTCTTCCTTAATAGAGTCTGGGTTTTAAGGCAGAGGACATGTAAAAATGTGTCTGTATGTACATATTTGTTGTTTTTATTTTTCAATTTTGAACACAAACTTATATATCCATCTATTGGGATGGATTTTAAAATATATTTAGTTGAAATGTTTAGTAATTTGAGTTCATGCTCAGAGTTCTGGTTTTATTATGATGGACAAAAAGCAGAGTGTGGAGCAGGGATAATGAATTGTGCTCTAAGAACCTTTGCAACTTGCAAGTGCTGGCTCAGCATGGTTGAAAACATGGTATAGGAGCTCATAAAAGGCACTTAGTGGGGATCCAGACATGCAAGCCACTGCATAAAACCTAAGCTCCCATTGCAGAAGGCCTTATAAGAAGAGCCAGGTCCCCCTTTCGCACTCTGCTTCTGTAAACATGCTTTCCCCTTGAAAACTCTTAAAAAAAAAATTTGTTCTAATCAATTATACAGGACAACAGAATGCATTTCATTTCATTGTACACAAATGTAGCACAACTTTTCATTTCTCAGGTCATACACAATGTAGAGTCGCACCATTTGTGCAATCATACGTGTACCTAGGGTAACTCATTCCACCATCTTTCCTGCACCCATGCCCTCTCCCCTCCTGTCCCTCCCCTTTGCCCAATCCAAAGTTCCTCCATTCTTCCTATGCCCCTGACCCCCATTATGAATCAGTGTCCACTTATCAGAGAGACATTCTGCCTTTGTTTTTTCGTGATTGGTTTACTTAATTTAGCATGATATTCTCCAACTCCATCCATTTACCTGCAAATGCCATAATTTTATTCTCTTTTAATGCTGAATAATATTTCATTGTGTATACATACCACAGTTCCTTTATCTATTCATCTATTGAAGGGCATTTAGGTTGGTTCCAGTTATATAATGTGAATTGAGCTGCTATAAACATTGATATGGCTGTGTCACTATAGTATGCTGATTTTAAGTCCTTTGGGTATAGACCAAGGACTGGAATAGCTGGGTTAAATGGTGGTTCCATTCCAAGTTTTCTAAGGAATCTCCATACTGCTCTCCATGGTGGTTACACCAATTTGCAATCCCACCAGCAATGTATGAGTGCATCTTTCCCCCCTATGTCCTTTCCAACACTTGTCGCTTGTATTCCTGATAATTAATTGACATTCAGACTGGAGTGAGATGAAATCTTAGAGTAGTTTTCATTTGCATTTCTCTAATTACTGGAGATGTTGAATCTTTTTATATATATATTTGTTGATTGGTTGTATTTCTTCTTCTGAGAAGGGTCTGTTCAGTTCCTGAGCCCATTTGTTGATTGGGTTATTTGTTTTTTGGGTGTTAAGTTTTTTGAGTTCTTTATACATCCTGGAAATTATTGCTCTATGTGATGCACATGTAATAAAGTTGTTCTCCCACTCTGTGGACTCTCTCTTCACATTATTGATCATTTCCTTTGCTGATAAGAAGCTTTTTAGTTTGAATCCATCCCATTTATTGATATTTTATTTTCTGATTGAAAACTCTTACACACAATCATATATCATTTTTTGAAGTCCTGTGCACAACAATGTATTATTTTAGACAAGGATATTTATTCACTAGATAGCCTATAAATGTTGTGAAAAACTGGTAAGGAGTGCTTAGAATTTGGAACGTTGATCTCTTCTGGGCCTGCTGGTGTAAAATAAAGTTTGATTTCTCCCAAGTGCTGGTTGTTGTTTCTTGCCTGATTCCTGCAACAGTGTGGTCAGATTAACTCTCAGAGTTAATTCCACTTCCACATGGAGCCAGGGCCCTGAATCAGGA